TGGTCACCATGCTGCTCATGGAAGAGCCTTTTGAGTGAGTGGCAGTGGATATTGTGAGACCTTTGCCCCCCAGTGTAATACAGGGTTCCAAAATATTTTGGTCCTGCTGGCCTACACCACCTGATATCCAGAGGTGGTGGCCATGAGAACAGTGAACGCAGAAAAGGTGGCAGAGGAATTGCTTAAGACCTTTACCTACATGGGGGTGCCAAAAAAGAAATTAACATGTCAGGGCATCAATTTTATGGCCCAGGTGTTCAAAGAAGTCTGCCATACGTTGAAGATATGGCACCTTTAAACATCAATGTACCACCTTGAAATGGACAGTCTGGTTCAGCAGTTCAACTAGACCCTCAAAACTATGCTCAAGAAGGTTGCTGGGTGAGATGTGCAGAGGTGGAACAAGCTACTAGGACTATTACTGTTTCCCTACTGAGAAGCGCCCCCCCCCCCCATGCCACTGGTCTCTCACCATTTGAACTATTCTGTGGTCACTCCCCACCACCACCACCTCCAAGGTGTGGATGCGTCAATCTGTCCCCTCGGCTATAAGAAAGTTCGGCTGGGTTCCCTGACAATATAGAGTACTCACTCCGGCGCCGCACGCGTCCAACCCGCCTGCCATGACTTTGATGATTCTCCGGTTCCGTGTATAGTCCGACGCGTGCTGGTCCAAAAATGAGATGTCACATTGCGCAGGGTCTGTCACTGTTGAGGGCTCCTCCACCCCTACACCCTCGCCCGGGCCTCCATTTGTGTCTGCAGCTGGCGGGGCTCCTTTAATGATCCACCTTTCCCCTTTGAGGGGTGTTCACCTCAACAAAATTAGCAAAAGTTAAACACAAATATCGCTCCCGCCCGGGGCTGCAGATTTCGGGCTCCTGCATTCACTTTTAACAGGGTCCAGGGAGCCTTCTGCCCGTCTGGGGCCCCTTTCCTTCCGGGACCGCCTGGTGCCTAAGCATTAGAGCAGGGCTATTCAGTCTGCCTGCCCCTCTCCACCAGGGTATCCCGCCGCTCGGCCCTCTCTGACGGTGCCAGACGCTCCCAGCCCTATTGCTGCCACCTTTAGCTTCTGGGGCTGCCGCCCCAAATTGCACCGTCCCTCGGGGCCTTACCCCTGCCCCAAAACGTGCGAGCGCAGCAAGCGCCGACGTGCGTCCGCCGCTCCGGACTCTCGCCAACAGCCGTCTCCCGACCCGGCTCTTCCGGTTCCGCCCCCTGCTCCTGGGTTCCGGCGTCTGCTTTATGCCGCCCACGCCGGTCCCACCTGGAACTGGTAAGGGAGTGCCCCGCCCTCCGGGGCCACGGGCAATCTGTTACCGCGAGTGCTCCAGCACCACGCGCCTTGGGGCCTGTTGGCTCGCCTGCTCCTGCACACAAGGGTTTTCAGCTTTGATATGGGAAGTTTGAGAACAACAACAGGAAGGGTCAACACAAAGCCCAGTGGTGCAAATGCTAGAAATGAGAGATAGGCTATGGATTGTAAGAGCATTAGGGTGAGAACCTACAAACAGCCCAAGTTAGGCAAGCTACTATACACAACCAACAAACACATAAGAGGCAATTCAGTGAGGGTGGTTGGGTACTCATGTTGCTCCATGATGACGCCTCCAAGTTTATGGCCAAGTCTCTAAAATGGATAGGACCATGCAGTTCTGCGTTGCTTTTCAGAAGGTCAACAGCATGGTGTGCTACAATGCTTACTCCATGCCCTGGGTGGAGGACCTGCTGGAGTGGATAGGGGGAGCACAGTTTAGTTCCACCATAGACATGGCTCAGGGATATTGGCAAATACTCCTGAAAATGAGCTCCCAGGAGAAGACCACATTTGCTACCCTGTGGGGGGCTTAAGGAGTTTGCTCAAATGCCATTCGCCAGCACAGGGCAGCAGTGACATTCTAGCGCCTGATGGATAAGATGTTGGTGCCTCACTGGGGATATGCTGCTGCATATAATGATGACATGGTGGTGTACCTGGGGACCTGGGAAGAATACCTACAACATCTGACAGCAGTATTAGAAGAACTGCAAGTTGTGGGCTTGACTGGCAACCCAAAGAATTGCATGTTGGGACAAGAGGACACACAATATTGAGTAGAGGGGGGAAAACACAACCATTGACAGATGAGGTGCAAGGCATACAGGATCATAACCTGCTGTAAACCACAAAAAAAGCAGTCCTTCCTGGGGCTAGCTCACTATTGCTGCCTAGTGCCCTGGTTTTCAGACATAACAGCCCTACTGTCCAAGCTAACCCAAGACTTGGCTCTGAATCAGATTGTCTGGACAGCAGAGGCCAAGAGAGCCTTCTGGCAGGTCAAGGAGGCATTATGTACACAACCTGTGCTGTATGCTGTACAGGTTCAGCATGACAAGGTGCTCTGGGGGAGAGGCTCAGTCTGAGAGGGGACTCCAGAGGGGCATGTTCAGCCTGACAGAGGGTTTCAGGGGAGGCAGACTCAGCATGGCAGGTGGTTCAAGGGGTAGGCTCAGCCTAGCATGGGGAACCAGAGGGGCAGGCTCAGCCTGGCAGGGGGCTCCAGGGGTGCAGGTTCAGCTTGGCAATGGGCTTGATGGGGGCAAGCTCAGCCTGCCAGGGGAATCAAGGGGAGCAAGCTGAACTTGGCAGGGGACTCCAGGAGGGGCAGGTTTAGCCTGGTAGAGGGTTCCAGGGGAGGCAGGCTCAGTCTAAAACGGGGCTCCAGGTAGGGTGGGCTTAGCCTGGCAGGGGCTCCAAATTCATAAATTTTCCATATGTAGAATTTAATTATTGGGAGGTCATATTAAATTCAGGGTTAACTTAAGTATATATGGTACTAATTGAGGATCTTTTCTCACCACAAAAGGCCACTGTGAACTACTCATTCATGACTGCATTGCAATACACTGTGCACTTATACTGATAATTAGTAGCAATATATTATAACATTAATTATTCCCCAAAGGCTTCCATTCTGTGGGCCTGTGCTAAAGTTAATAACAGGCAAGAGTTACTTCTTTTAAGAATTAACTGGCAATTATTTTTCCATTTGGCTACTATTACCTTCATAAAGTTTATATTTTAAAATACGTTAATAAAAAAACCCTAAGAACTATACTCTATATCACAAAAAAAAAAGACATGGAAATACATCTTTTAATGGACAGTCTGGGCCACAGGTGAGCTAAATATGAACCTGTCATTTTTGTAAATCACTAATTAAATTATACCTTCTTGTAACTAAGCCCTCCACTTCATTGTCCTAATGATTTATTATTTTAATTCACTCTGATTGGCAAAGAAGAAATAACTGCTGTTCTGCTCTGGCATGTTTCATTCTAATTTTTGCTCTCTATAAATGTTATAGTTCTTCAGTTAGCGGTCAAAGAAACTCTGTGCAAAAGCAGCATTTACTTTAATTTCTATCAGAGCCAAAGAATACGTATGCAGTTTGACATTTTGGAGTACCTGTTTTGCAGCGTTAATCTGTTATTAAGTTGTTATTAGAGCTATTAAAATTATTTTAGACAATTTTAAAAGCATGGTGTATACTAACTAATCTTAACTGTTACAAGTTCAGAGTAAAAAAAGATGCACTACATAAAGAGATGCTGAAACAGATCTAAGATTCCTTTTTAAAAACCTGTCACTAAAAATAAGAGAAATAAAATTACAGTTCCTGTTGGCTTTTGTGGGAAACCTCCCCCTTCAGTAACACACTGTACAGCAAAAATAGATGGCTTTGGATTTTCGAAGACAGGCCTTTCCATTTATTCCAGGGAAAAAGGACATATTTTCTTATGTATGGCTTACCACATGTCCTTTAAAAGAACAGTAGCTTAAGGACAAAATTTCATTTGTGTTGAGTACTGATATCCTGACACAAAATAGGCCTTACCTTTTAGTCTTAACTGCTTTTAAACCAAAAGCAAAATAAGACATAGAAACTTGATACAACAAAGCAGTAACCTTACCCTGTATTTCTAATACCCTGAAATTTACTCATTTATTTCATATGACTCTGGATTGGACCTAGGTTAGTATTCCTAACAAGGCAGAACAATAACTAGATGACTTACGTTAACGTAAGTAGAAGTAATAAAGAAAGATATGTTTCATGTTAACATGAATTCAAATGTACATTAAGATTATTTTGCAGGGATTGCAAAACCCTGAGAATCCTGGGAATGTAAAGCCAAATTTAAGTTCCAGAATCTGCAGACAGAAGTTATCTCCCAAGATGTCACTTAGATTTCCAACTTGGGATCCAGGTTCTTTGAATTTTTTCAGGTCACACTGTTCCTAGCTTACTTTTACCTCACTAAAGTGTGACGATTAGATGTGTGATCAAAAGGATAAGACTATATATATTAAAATATCTATAAATCCTTAGATCGTGTAATAGGGTTGGGGAAAAGTACCATCATCAAGGATCCTGGTTTTCTATGATAAAAAAACCACAAATTCTCTGATAAAAACCCCCAAATCTGTTATTAAAATTAAAGGCCCCCACAGTACCTCCTGGGACACTTCTCTATTGACTGCCCTGCTGATTAAGTGGGCTGGTGGTTTTTACAATGGATTTAATCCAAACTTCTATTTTATGCGCTTGTAGAAACATGCTTCTGTGATAAAGATGACACCTGTCCCGATTTTCTTTGGTCAGCAAATATTGCCATATATTTCTTAAGAATGCAGGCTCCTGGATCTTGCTCATTTATTTAAGACACAATGAAAGAAAGCCACCAAAAAGTTCTTCTGGCCCCTCCTAGCACTCCGCTACTGATATATGAGAATTTATTTACAACTGGTTATTTAGGATAATGACCAATGATCTTGGAATCACATACCAAAAAGAACAAAATTAAGCAGGCCTATATTTTTTATTACAAAATCTGGACAAATTATTCACAAAACTTCTTTTGATTAATCCCTATGTACCACATAACTTTTTCAATTTATTTTCATATCTCTTTTTATTTAAAGTAAAAATGGCTATTCCATCAGTTTCAAAGTTCTAAATAATTTTTTCCAATTCCTTGATTCGGCTTTCTAAAGTGCCAGTAGCTCAATCCAAAACAAAACAGCTTTCAATTATTTGTTTAACATGAATCTTTGCTTCTAAGAGACAATCTGTTTTTCTACTGAGGTTATTTGATGAGAGACATAATATTTGTGGAAATCGAAGGATAAATCTATTTATATCTTTTTCAATCCATCCAAGAGAGATGAGCTTCTCTTTCACATTTAAAAAGCTTCTTCTCATATATCCGTTGCGTAAGGCGAAAATGTCAACTGCCTGGCCATATAAAAGGGTAGGTAATTTCTCATTATCCAGCTTGAAAGTTGATTGCAGAAACTCAATGTTAGCTCTCGCTTGCTACTCCTTACAAAGATTAAATTATTTTTGGAGATTATCTCCCTTACCAAGTCATTTGGGCTTTTAATACCTGAAGGCAAGCAGATCTCATGTAGCAGGTCAGTCATTTTCTGGTTCCAGTCCACTTGGTTAGAAAATGCCCATGGTGCTCTGGTCAACATGTTATAAAGGTCTTTTGAGGTTAAACCAATATTGCAGAAAAAGACAATGTTGTATTTCATATTGACATTGTTATTGGAACGAGAAAAGGATTCTGGGGAACGTTCCAAAATATTTATAATTTCCAAGTCTTCAAAATACTCTGCCATAGCTCCCAACATTTCTCAAGAGACTCAGAACAGCATATGATGGCTTGTGGATAATGGATAATAAGTGATAATGCTGGAAATTACTTCATTACTAGCCCCTTTGGTCTTCAGAAAGTGTTTCAAGCCTTTTTCATTTGTTTTTAATCTCTTTAAAATGCTGGAGTTTTGCTTTCTTATTATTTTGACATTCACTCCCATGTCTGCCAAATTTTTCACTAAAACAAAATTCTCTTAGCCTGATTCTGCACTGCTACTCTCTTCTTTCAGACAAAAGAGCCTAGAAGATACAGGCTTGAGTACAATCTCTGCTGAGAATCCATACCAGAAACAATTCATCTTGTAAAACGGTGGAGTTACACTTGTGCACCAGCCCTGTGGCTGCCATTGGAATCAGAAGCTGCACAAATCCATTGCTAATTATCTGTGGGAAGGAAAACTTCAATCATTATGCACAGATACTATATGCTAAATAAAGAATATGTTTTTGCATTACCAAAGCTTTGAGAACCATTTTCTTACTTAAATGTACTGCTTTTGTTTACCTAGATGATATGGCTTAAAAAAACAAATAAAGTAGCAAATTCAACAAGCTGTTCAAAATACATTCACACTTCAAACTCTGAGGGACAATATAAGTGTACGGGCTTATAAGTGTATTTGATTACATTAAAAGAATAAGATTTTAGGCTCCACCTCTTATACGGAAGGTACAAAATTCACAGGAAGGAATTGGTTAAAGTGGTTTTAAATCACCTATGACTTAATCCTGGGGCCAGAGTATATCTTGTCATAATTCAGACAAGTGTGGAGGCCTGTCTAAATAATAAACATCCTCTCTGGGCTGCCCAGAATTTCTACAGCCTGCCCCTTCCCAATGCTACCTTCCTATCCCCAACTATCCTCTGGTAAACCTACTACAGAAGGGCTCCAGGGGTACACTGGGATGAAGGCAGGGAGGGAAAGCAGTCTCCCCATGTATCTTGTTTTAAGGCAATTCTCCTCCAGGATGGAATTGAGACATTTTGCAACCTTTTACCTACCATAAAAGGACTGGAGTAGGGAGGAGGCCACCCATGGCAAGGATCAAGAAAAAAAAAGCTTGTAAAATATTGATATGTTACCATATCCAACTCAGTTCTCTTTCATAGATGCCAAGATTTAGAACTGTTTCTTAAGAATCAATTTTCCACAAAGTATTGGGACGCTGGAAGCCACAGGACTGCAGAGGCTAGAGGCTGTGTGAGCATACCAATCAGTTTTATATGGATTTCTTGAACTTCTTTTCTATAAACCTTTTGCTTCTTTTTCTCTTTCCTCATCCTTTCCAAATCCTTTCTTCTATTCCCCAGTCCCCTGCCCAAAATGTATTTCTTACTTATAACACTTCACCCATTCCTGAGCTGCTTACTCCTGCATCTGATTCAGCATATTACAACTAAAAATAGTAGATGTTGCAAGGCCTGATTTTGATTCTAAGCATTGTTTTGTAAATATAACTATTGGTTATAGTTATATAACCAAACACCATCAAGAAGTGTAAATTCCAGCTGATTGAAAAGGAGCTGAAAAGGATTAGTAAGATTTTTGTATCCCTCCCCCTACTCAAACACAGTTCTATATTTAGTATTTACAGTGGGTGTCGGTTTTGGACCCTTTACAGAAGGTTGGCTGCTTAAATATCCCAGCTTTTAAATTTACCAGTATGGTCAAACTAAGCCAAACAACCCAAGAAATGATGTTACTCTCTTAGTGCCAAAATTTAGGTGGGAAATCCTAAATCTCAACTTCTCCCTCTCAGCAAGTGACACAAACACTCCACTGAAGTGAAAAGAACCTTTGTTCTATTCATTGGAATTGGGGTTTCTAACAGTTTTATAAGAACACTATGAAAACTAACTCCTGAGCATACTTACAAAGTAGTTTCAAAAGTGAAAAATCTTAGATGCCTCAATATATTTTTCAAAATAGCAAAAATATATTTAGACCCCTATAAGGATTAATTATTAGAAAATGTCCTGTATTTTTATAATAAGACCTCTTTTACATTTTGTAGCATGGTGCCAAGCTCGGCCCCTGCTATGCTTGCTCTTTAAGGCAAATCTGGCCAGGAAGTATGGCTAATAAGGGCTCCATACCTTGTGTTTCACATAGAAGTGTGAATGAGAAACAGAGTTCAGAGAAAGAAGACTCCAACTGCAGAGATGAAGGTAAGAGGGTGATGCTGAGACTGCCCCCCTGCGGACATGTCCCATCCCAATAGAAAAGAAATCTCACCTGAGAGACAGAGTAAGGGGAATCTCAGCCCATCCTGAAGGTAAGCGTGTGCTGACCCTCAAATTGATTTACGGAGGCAGGATGAGGAGGACGAGAAACTGTTATGAATTAATGACAAGCGTGGACTGTATTATGCAAAATTCTGGAATTAATTAGAAACTGATTGGGGAAGAAAATTGGTTAATTATAAGGGTCTATGAAATTAAGAAGGACCCGAACTGACCTGGAGTTGTGTTTATGAATTAGTGATCCCAAGGGGTACTCAAGTGGGACAGCCGGGTCAGCTGATTATCGATTTAAATTCATTTAATCCAGAATCTAACTGATTTAGGTCTAACAATTTGCCTGTTTGGGGTAAGAAGCGAAAAGGACAAACAAAAAAGGAAGCCCAGTTGAAACCTCCAAGTTAAAGCCAGTTACCTAAAAAAAAGAAAGAGAAAAAAGGATCAGACAGCTGAGTGACAGACCAGGGTGTAGGGAAGGAGGCGCCCTGTAAATATATTTTGAGAACTTCCATTGGTTCAACCCTCTGACAAGACATTTGCCTCCCCATCTCTTTCAATAACATCTCAGCATAGCAGGAGAAAGAAAACAGCAGAGAGGTGACAAAGGAGTGACCAATGGTTAAGCCCGTGACCACTGTCACATATTTAAAAAGTCACAATATATACCAGCCCTGTATTCTACACCAGGTATAGGAAAAGGACATTGTCACAGGGCACTTCAGTGCCCTGCTCCTACAAAGAGGTGCAAGTGCCAGTTGCCAGGGCAACCGCAGTTGGTCAGCTGACCGGAAGGGGGCAGGGCCTGACCTGTATAAATGTAATCCAGGCTGAGGCCAGAGAGGCAGTTCCCCGCTAGCAGCCAAGGAAGAAGGAGCTCTGCTGGAGGAAGCTGAATAGAGAAGCCTGATGGCCTGAGCAGCTTCTGTTTGCGAATACCAGGTGGAGGAAGCCCTGGTAGGGATTTAAATGATGGTTAGCCAGATGGCTTAGAGTTTACATTGTAGCCCAGGGGCTTGAGTTTCTTTTTGTAGTTTTATAAGACTGGAGGACCGGGTGAGGCTAACAGGGGTTGGAGGAGGCCTCACAGGGGCTCCACGGTAGTGTGGGGACCCCGGTGCCAGAGAGGGCACAACATTCAGGGGTGCACTGACCCCAGCCCTGAGAAGGGGCGCAGAGGATTGGGGGCCAGGTAAGGCTGAGGCTGCTTGAGCCCCACAGGAACTTGTAGACCCCAGGAGGGGATTTGGGGGCCAGGCACGGCTACGGCCACCTAAGCCCCAATTGTGAGAAGCCCAAGGGCGGGCGCAGGCGAGAAGCCCAGAGGGCACTCACTTTGAGACCTAAAGAGGGGGGTTTGGGGCCAGGCATGGCTATGGCCACCTGAGCCCCAATCGAGAGCAGGCCCCGGAGCAGGCGCGGTCACGAGAGCAGGCCCCGGAGCGGGCACGGTCGCAAGAGCAGGCCCCGGAGCGGGCACGGTCGCAACAGCAGGCCCTGGTGTGCATCCACGGGGGCGTGGGCAACTGTGAGACGAGCCAGGGAGCGCCCATGAGGGCGCGGGCAATTGTGAGACGGGCCCAAGGACCCATGAGGTGGGGGCAATTGTGAGACGAGCCAGAGAGTGTCCGTGAGGGCACGGGCAACTGTGAGGGAGTGCCAGTGAGGGCACCAAGGGGAGAATTGACCAGACAACGTCTGGTACATCTACGAGGCTTGGGGCGTGGTACAGGGGTGGTTGGAGCCATGCGTAGCCCCTAAGGCTTTAGTGCACTGAGTCACCTAAGAGCACAGACCGGGATACATCAGGGCACCGTGTCAAAGATGACAAAAGGCAGCCTCCCTTAAAACAATACTAACAGCAAAGACGTGGCAGGCGAGATGGTGAGGGTGTGTTGACACCAGCTTGGCACAGTAGGGGGCACTAGGGGAGTTCACGGCACCCCTAAGGCGTGCTCCGGTCACAGACATATAGTCTCAGACAGCCCTATTTAAAACAATAGGGGAAGGTAGGGAGTGAGCGATTCCCTGGAACTGTGCTGCACTCCCTCTCAGATTAGAGAGAGGTATTTAACCACATTAGTCTGAAGTCAGGCCGAAGCAGCTTAGAGACTAAGTGGTTATACAACTGGCTAGTCTCTAAGATTCCGCCCTGCCCCACTCTCTCCTTTGTAAATGTTACGGTTTGGGTCAGGGCTATTATGAGAGGAAAAAACAAACACTGCAAATGCTGAAGAGCAAAATTCTTCATTTTTCCAGTGAGGAACACCAGAGGCCACTCATTTCCACAAAGTAGTGTGTGTAGAATGAGAGTAAAGGAAGGGCACACACCACTGTCACTCCACCCAAAAAATACAGGAATGGAAACAGACAGCCATGTCCACCCAAGACAGTCACCTTAGTGAATGATTAAGAGAGCAGAAGCAGGTCATCAGTATTCCTGGATTCATGAGAAGGGGAGGATGAGCACAGGTACCCTTCCACACACCACAATGGTGTAGTGGAACAGTACATTACAATGAATCATAGGAAAGTAGGGCTAGAAGGGACCTCACAAGGTCATCCAGTCCAGCCCCCATCTCAAGGCAAGGTCATCCTTGACTAAACCACCTCAGTCAAGTGTCTGTCCAACCTGCACTTGCAAATGTCTAGGGATGGAGATTCCACAACTTCTTTAGGTAGCCTGTTCCAGTGCTTGACCATCCTTATAGTCAGACAATACTTTCTAATCTCCAAGATAAATTTCCTCTGCTTCATAGAATCATAGAGAAATAGGGCTGGAAGGGACCTCCAGAGGTTATCTAGTCCAAACCCCTGCTTGAGGCAGGATCATCCCTATCCAAACCATCCCACAAAAAATATCAACCCTGACACAACATAGACCTAACACCCTAATCTGCAACAAGTAAAGTGGGGGACCCACAGCAGCCAGTGTCCTGCTTCTAAGAAATGTTATCAGTATATGCTCCAGGGGTCCCAGAAAGAAGAAGGCAAAAACCTCTGTAGAGGTGGGCCTCCCACTACAGAGGAAGGCAAAACCCCCCACAATCCATACCAATCTGACGGTGAGGTAAAATTCCTTCCTGAATCCAAATCTGGCAATCAGTCTAACCCTGAGCATAGGGGCAAGATGCCCTAGCCAGGACCCCCCAGCTTTGGTCCCA